CCATCCCTGACTACCCGTTCTCCCTGACCTCACTCTGCTTCCTCTATAAGCTTGACATCATTGTGAATTGCTTCAAGCCCTCTCCTTCCAGCCCTTGCCAGCCTTTCCCCTTGAACTAATACAACCACCTGTCCTTTGTCCTATTGGAGAAAATCACACAACCCATCACAGTCAGTCCGCCTAGTCACCCTTTAACATGGATCTGGGCAGCCCTCTCTCCCCTCTGGACAGTGGCTCTTCCAAACCTTCCACTGCTTCCCTAGGGTCCTGCCCAATGCCACCAACCCTCCATCAGCCAATAATCTCTTCCTCTCCCCCATGAAGAAAGCTGAGGATTTTGCCAGGAGCCCCAGCTCTCTTCATTGTTGATTCTCAGCTTCCCAGAGTGGAGTTGGCCCCCTTTTCCCCTTATCCCCACCCCAGCAAGGATGGATTAGTCATCATAAATATCATGGTCTGCTCTTGGCTCCATTCACGGCTTGCCTTGGGGGTGGTAATCATCAGCTGCCGCCTGATCTGCTCTGATGCTGTTCACTTGTAATGAAGGTTCTCACTTTGTTTGATGATCCTTTCCCTGCCACTGACCATCCTACCCTGTTCTAATATCTCTATTCCTCCTAAGATACTGCTCCTGGCCATAACTAATTCTGTCTTCTATGTGCCTCACAATTTACTGAGCACATTTTTCTATCTCATTTAATCCTCTTTGAGACTTCCCTGGTAGTCCAGTGGCTAAGACTCTGCATTCCCAATGCAGGGGCCATGGGTTCCATCCCTGTTCAGGGAACTAGATCCCAAGTGCTGCAACTAAGACCTGGTGCAGCCAAAATAATAATAATAGCCCTTTGAAGTGGGTCTTTTTCTTTAAAAAAGTATTTATTTATATTGAAGTACAGTTGATTTATGTTTCAGATGTACGGTGAAGTGATTCTTTTCTACTATAGGTTATTGCAAGGTAAGTATAAGTCCTGTAAGTAGAGCCTTGTTGTTGATCTATTTTATAATAATAGGGTATATCTGTTAATCTCAAATTCCTAACCTATCTCTCATAATCCTTTCCCCTTTGGTAACCCTACATTTGCTTTCTATATCTGTGAGTCTATTTCTGTTTTGTAAATAAGTTCATTTGTATCTTTTTTTTCTTTTGGCCATCCAATTTTGGAATCTTAGTTCCCTGACCAGGAATTGAACTCATGCCCTCTGCAGTGGAAATGCAGAGTCCTAACCACTGGACCACCAGGGAAGTGCCATCAGTTTTTTAATGAAGCAGATTTTATCCTTCTTTTATTAATGATGGTCCTACTGTTAAGTCACTTCAGTTGTGTCCGACTCTGTGCGACCCCATAGACGGCAGCACACCAGGCTCCCCCATCCCTGGGATTCTCCAGGCAAGAATACTAGAATGGGTTGCCATTTCCTTCTCCAATGCATGAAAGTGAAAAATGAAAGTGAAGTCGCTTGGTCATGTCCGACTCTTAGTGACCCCATGGACTGCAGCCTACCAGGCACCTCCATCCATGGGATTTTCCAGGCAAGAGTACTGGAGTGGGGTGCCATTGCCTTCTCCAATGACGGTCCAGGGAGACTTTAAGTAATTTGCCCAAGATAAGTGGCTGTGCTGGATGGACCTCAGCTGGCTCCTCTCTTTTATGTGATCCCGTCATCGGTGACCACACTTTCCTGGCCACAGGTGAGATCCTTTCCTTCTCTGTCCTCGGCTGAATCTCCATATGTCTGTCCACTATGCTCATTCACCACACTCTGAAGATTATACATTCCTTTATGTTTACCCCTCATAAGGTTGTGAGCCCCTCCAGGTGGGAAACTCCATTTCCATTTTCCAAGTGACCTCAGTAAAAGTTTTTGATCACATGAAGTTCAAGCCCCTTTAGCCTGTGTGTCTGATTAGTTGTGGCTAGTTGACCATTTTGCCTTCACTTACATGAAACGAGTGGACTTGAAAAAAGGATGATACTAGAGAAAACATGCAAGATCTCATGACCTTGGTACAATAGGGACAAAGCGGAGACATACTAAGTACTGTGGATGCTAATGGGCCTTCCCCAACGGCTCAGCCGTAAAGAATCAGCCTGCAACGCAGGAGACCCAGGATACGCAGGAGACGCCAGAGACTCAGGTTCTATCCCTGGGTTGGGAAGATCCCCTGGGAGAGGGCATGGTAACCCACTCCAGTATTCTTGCCCAGGAAATCTCACAGACACAGGAGCCTGGCGGACTACAGTCCATGGGGTCGCAGAGTCAGACATGATTGAAGCGGCCGAGCACGGGAGCACATGGATGCTAAAATCACTGACTCTCAGCTGGATGTGAGCAGTTGGTCTGCACTGTATTCAGCTGGGAAGGAAAAAAACAAAATCAAGGCATATGTACAGAATGCTGGAAATGTATGATTTAGGCGTATAAATGAAACATGAGGGATAATTAGGAATCTTAGGATTTTCTCATTTCCACTGGATGGAGCCACTCCTTAGAAATGAGACACTGTTGTTTTATTTGTGCACTCTTGATTCGTATAGAAACATTTCCTTGGCACTCACCATGCACCAGGCCATGTTCTGGAGTGAACCCTAAGAGGTGAGTACAGTTATCACCCTTTTTTAGGTGAGGAAACAGAAGCAGAGAGAAGTAACATAACTTGCCCCAGATGCTCACTTCAGCAGCACATGTACTAAAATTGTAGGAAAAGAGAGATTAGCAAGGCCCCTGCACAAGGATGCCAAGCAAATTGGTAAAGCATTCCATAATTTTATTATCAACTCTCTACAAATTCTTATCTTCAGAGAAGATAATGTTTTAAGTCTGCATCACAATCACCCTTGTTTACTTGGAGCTTCGGCATCAGTCCTTCCAATGAATATTCAGGGTTGATTTCCTTTAAGATTGACTGGCTTGGTCTCCTTGTTTTACTGTGTATTTTTTTCTGGTCATCTCCCAGAGCTGACTCTCTCCACCCTTAACATCTTTTGTCTTTAGATGAGGCTGGCGGGGCTGCAGTCACTTTGGTGAGTTACTCAGTTTTTTTCTGACTCTCTCCCATATATACGTGTTACTAAACTTTGATTTTCTCCTGTTTAAAAATATATACATGAGTAACTTGCCCCAGGCACACACCATCTGAGCAGTGGTGGCTGAATGCCAACACTGTGCTCTTCACCAGCACCTCACAGTATCTCTGTCTTAATGCATTTGCAGAACACATCACGCATGAGAGCAGATGACTCTTTGAACCTCATGTGATGTGTCAAGGAAACCAGATCTGCTCCTATTTTTAGATGAATTCTTCCTGACACAAAGCAAGAAGGAGGGCATTGTGGTAGAATGACTCCCACATAGGTAGCAACTTATCCAGCATATATGAGCACTGGCTGATTTACAACTCAGATGGACAGGGATTTCATCCCTTTGAATACTATATTGTCATACTTTCTGGAGAGTGATTATTTTTGTGAAGAGGAGCAAAACAGATTAAAGAAAACATAAAACTAAACAAAGGGAAAAATAAAAAGTTGCAGTGGATAAAGCAATTCAGTAAGAGAAAGCAAAAACAGAGGTTAAAAAAAAAAGTTACTGTGTAATTATATCTCAATGAAAGGAAGTTAAAACCAGGTTCCCAAGTGACTTTAATTTGAATTGTTCAAGCCAACTTACACAAAATTATTTTGCAGTCTTATGATGCATTTGACAAGATCTCCAGGATCCAAACTCAAGTTAAGCCAAGCTTTAAGATAAAGCTAACTGCAGATGATAAAGATATGGCCTCCTAAACCATCTTTATCTTGAAGAGATCAAAAAGGAAGGCCATGTTTTGTGAAATTCTCAAGGGGGAGAATACACATTTACTCAATATATATCATGTGCCAGGTCTATTGCCAAAAGTTGATCTCATTATCTCCAATTTACAAGGGAAGAAACCAAGGCTCAGTAGGTAATGAAAAGAGTGAAAACTGGAATCAGGCTTTAAACCCATGTCTCTTCATAATACAGCAGTCTGTCCACAAATTCTTGGTACATTACTATAGGTTTCTGATTTCGAAAGTGACTAACTCATTTTGTAATATATACTCATATTGAATCATGATGTTGTATAGCTGGAACTAATATAATGTTGTATGTCAATTATATCTCAATTTTTAAAAATTATTAACATTGTACACTTACCTACCTGAATCTGGGTCTCTAGAGCCATTCTAGTTACTGCCCTAGAGGGTCCCAATTCTAGACTTCTAGCCTGACAATTTTAAACAAACAGTATTGTTATACCAAGAAACTCCATAAGAACCTTACCTTTTGACAGAGGTAGACATCATTTTTTTTCAAGTTTTTTTTAACTACATTTCATAACAGGAAGCAACATTTTATATCGTGACCCACTACATATGCAGAGTGTTTAACTGCACTATTTCAATATAAGGACTTCCCTGGTGATCCAGTGATTAAGATTCCACGCTTCTACTGCAGGGGGCGCAGGTTTGATCCCTGGTTGGGAAACTAAGATTCCACAAGCCAATGGCCAAAAAAGCCCCCCCAAAGCCCACAGTATTTAACTTTGTTACATGCTCCGCTCTCTTCTTTTCTTTTCTATTCCTTTCTTAAAATATGCTGGTCCTGAGCTGTTAAATTGATTTCATGGCCCACCAGTGTCTTAAGATCTACAGTTTGAGAAACACTGTACTTTAGGATTTGGCTTGATCTGGAGATTTTTTTTCTCATTTGATAAATGCAGAAATATAGGCTCTCCAGAATGAAGTGAGTTCTTTAAATGTCCACAACTAAGAAGTATTGAATGGAGGACCTCGACACAGAATTCTGCCTTTATACCCAATATTCTTCTGAATACAGAATTTCTCCAGAGGAATTGTAAATGAGAAACTGAAGAACACCCATGTGCCCTCCCTGCAAGAAGAAAGGCTTAGCTACGTGAAGAAACAGAGGGGGAACACTTCCTAGGAGTCTCGCTGCAGCCAAGGCATTTGACAGTCCTTTCTGGAGGACACCTGCTCTGGACCAGGTAAGATGCAGGAGCTGGGATTCAGAGGTGGATTCATAGTCCCTGCTGTGGGAGGGGCTCCCATTTCAGTAGAGAAGTCCACGTAAACAGATAAATTACAGTGCAGGCGAATTAGAACCATAGTAGTGATGGAGGAAATTAAAAGAAATTAAAAGATGATTGCTCCTTGGAAGAAAAACTGTGACAAACTTAGTGTATTAAAAAGTAGATGGAGAAGGAAATGGCAGCCCACTCCAGTATTCTTGCCTGGAAAAGTCCATGGACAGAGGAGCCTGGCGGGCTGCAGTCTATGGGGTTGCAGAGTCAGACATGACTGAGTGACTGAACAACAAATGATGGAGGAAGCACAGCTGGAGGTCAGAGAAAGGAGCTTGATATCAGTTCTGAGCCTGGGAGAAGCAAGCTGAGGAGAGAGGCTGTGGTGGAGGGCTCATGGAGAGGCTGCAGTGGTGGTGGAGGTGGTAATATGGCAGACTGTCTTAAGGGTAGAAGGTACTGGGTGGGCAGAAAGAACAGAGCATTTTAAGTAGCTGGACCAACATGAGCCAACTGTAGGCCACTGAGGGGCAACGTGTGGGGCATGAAGAACAGTGGGGTAGGGGGTAGAAGCCCCTTTTGCAACTTAGCAAAGTCACCTTTGCCCATTAGACATTTTTTAATATTAAAAAAGTTTATTTATTTAGTTTATTTAGTTGCAGCATGTAAGATCTTCAATCTTCAATGAGGCATGAGAGATCTTTAGTTGCAACATGCAAACTCTCAGTTGCAGCCTGTAGGAACTAGTTACCTGATTAGGGTTCAAAGCTGGGCTCCCTGCATTGGGAGTTCAGAGCCTTAGCCACTGGAACACCGGGGAAGTCCTGCAAGGAACGCTTTTAAAAGGCAAAACCCTTCAGTGGCTCCCCTCACTCTGGGAAGGAATCCAACCCCCTGACCACATCTCCCTCGCCCTGCACCCTCTGCCCACTGGCTCCTGCCCAGACCTCGCCTCCCACCTGCTTCCCTCGCTTAACCACCAGCCACTGTGCCCTCCCCGCTGTTTCTAAATTCATCCAACCTGCTTCCTGCTCAGGGCTCTGGTATTCATTTTTCCCTCCGCCTGGCCCACTCTTCACACAAATAGCTGTATTTCTCTTGATGACTTCAATCAGGTCTCTTAGCAAATGTTACGGACCAGAGGACCCTCCAAGCCTGAGAAGCAGCCTCCTTATCCCTCTTCATGTTCTCACTCTGATTTGATGGTTTTTTCATAGCACACCTCCTACAGTGATGTAGTTGTTCATTTGACGACACCCATCCACCCCCGCTGGAACGATCCCTGGGTCAGGAAGATCCTCTGGAAGACAGCATGGCAACCCACTCCAGTATTCTTTCCTGGAGAATCCCATGGACCGAGGAGCCTGGAGGTCTATGGTCCATAGGTCCCAAAGAGTCAGACACAACTGAATTGACTAAGCACGGATGCATGCGCCCGCTGGAGTGGGATGGGAGCTCTTGAGGGGTGGGATTTGAATCTCTTCCTCCTTGCTATCTCTCCAACATCTGGGGTGGTGCCTCCAACCTAGAGATGCTCCATAAACATGTGTTGAGTGAGTTGCTTGGCTAAGGGGGTGAAGGAGACGGTGAGAGAGTTGCCTGCAAGAGCAGAAAGCTTGGGAAAGCTTTGGACTTTTGGTCTATAGGACCAGGGCAGGTGTGCCTTTCACTGCTCACAGACTGGGACAGGTAGGCCCCCAGCTGGCACATGGGTTAAATGTGAAAGAGTCCAAAGGGGAGCTAATGAGGTAGAAGCAGAGGGGGGCCTGTTGTCCCACGGCCTCTGCCTCTTCCTTCTGGCTCCTGAGGTGCAGCATCAGAGCAAGCTCTAGAGGTACCTGCATCAGCTACACAGTGGCCTTCCTTGTCTCCAGGACAACAGAGGATGAACCCTGATACCCCTCCCACTGGAGGAAGGGCATCTCCATCACGCTGGAGAGGGCACTTAGGAACTGTTGCCCAGAACCCAGGGACCCGTCTGCAGGCAGAGAGGAGACCCTGGATCACAGCATTGTTGGGGTGGGTGCATGAAAATGAACCTATGACCAGTGTAAGAGACTATTCGGAGGGTCCCAGATGAATTGTGCATGGAAATGTGAGGGCGTTTTCCCAAGGTGTTCCCTTCAGATCTCTTTGAGTTGCCATCTTTGATTTCCAGTATTTTTTTCACAGACTGTGTGATGTGCCCCTATTAAAGAAGAGAGAGATGGGTGATAGTGAGGGGTGAGGGCAGAGTTAGAGAGAGAGTTGGGGAGAGACAAAGATACAAGGAAGGAAGAGAAGAACAGAAGGAAAAAGGCACTGAGAGATGGAACACAAACAGAAAACCTTGGGATAGGAGATGTCAGGGGAAGATCAAGACATTAAAGGAAGGAGAGAGAATCGGGAAAGAAAGGCAAGTTCAAGGAAGCTGCACTTGCTGGGACAGAAGCTGGGACTTCCCTGGTAGTCCAGTGGCTAAGCCTCTGGTGCTCCCAATGCAGGGGACCTGGGTTCAATCCCTGGTCAGGGAAAGAGATCCCACAATGCCACAAGTAAGACCCAGCACAACCAAATAAACAATAAATATCGAAAGAAAGACAAAAGCAATAAGAGGACAAAATGGCTGGAATGAGATAAAAGTGGTCACCAGGATGTGCTTGTTTTGGACATGCAGAAGGTTGGAAAAGGGAGACCACACAGCTCATCTTTTATTGCCCTCCTAGATCTCAGGAATCTCCCCTCCAGGAGCCCCGCCCTACTTCCGGCTCCCCAGGGTGGGGCTCCTTTGTTTCCTGGGATGAGTCCTCAGCCCCAGATGGTGAGCCTAGAAGGGGGTGAGGTCCTCTGAATGCTGGGCTCCTGGTTATTAATAACTGAGGCTAATGGTTCCAGTCCCTCCCTGGCCTCAGTCCTGACCTGTTGCCTCAGTGGGTGAGAGGGCCAGTCCTGGAGGGATCCCAGAAGAGAAGGGCTGGCAAAGAGAAGAAATCAATGACACCAATCTTGGGAAGTTTCAGACCCACAGGAGGGAGCCATTGCCCTGTGCGGGCTACAGCGCCAGGTCGATTCAGCTATAGTGCCAGGAGTCCTGAGGGCCCAGCACGGCCCCCAGGGGAGGTCCTGTCTGCTTTTACTTCCTCAGCTCCCCATTTGCCCAATGGACTCCCCATTTGCCCTCCCCCAGGGGAGGGGGATCTGCGGGTGTTGCCACAAGTCACTCTTCGCAGAGAGAAAAAGTTTGTGAAGAGGCTGACAGATTGAGGATGGATGGGTGGAAGAAATAGAAAGCACAGCAAAATATTAACCATGATAGGACTTCCCTGGTGGCTTAGTGGTAAAGAATCCACTTGCCAGTGCAGAAGACATGGGTTCGATCCCTGACCCAAAAAGATCCTGCATGTCGCAGAGCAGGCAAGCCCGTGCGTTGTCACCACTACTGAGTCTGTGTTCTAGAGCCGACGAGCCACAACTGCTGAGCCCTCCTGCAGCAACTACTGAAGCTCTCGAACCCTAGAGCTTGTGCTCTGCGACAGGAGAAGCCACTACAGTGAGAAGCCTGCGCACTGCAACGAAAAATAGCCCCTGCTACTCACAAGTAGAGGAAAGCTGGTGCAGCAATGAAGACCCAGCACAGCCAAACATAAATTAATAAAGTTATTTTTTAATGAAGTAGAGCTTTGTTTCTTCTGACTCAATTTAATAAAAAAATTAATCATGATACAATCTACATGTGAGCATATGGATGCTCACTGTATATTCTTTCAACTTTTTTATCATTTGAATTTTTTCTTATAAAATATGAGAGGAGAGAAAAAAATTGCCCAGCAAATAGTATAAGGTGTTGGGAGTGTGATCCCTTTCCAAGAGAATCTGTATTTCAAATACCTGGAGAGGGCAATGTTTATCCTGAGAGATAGCAGATTGCAGGTAAGGGCACCAACAGAAGCCAAATAGGGGAGGGAGAACCCTGGATAGCACCAGGTGATTAGTAGTGCTGTCTACCCACAGCTGCTGGCCTTTTGGTTGGTGATCTTTTCCCAAGTTTATTCTGCCTCTCCTGAGATCAGGCCTTGGCCCAGAGTTGACCCCACCCTGCCACCTGTAACCCTTGGGGTAGGATAAGTTCCAGACCCTGCCTGACAACTGATCCTAGGAGTCTGGTTGTGCTTGCTCAGGAGGTGAGGTTCACACGATAAACAGCAGGGGGGAGGGCTTGGACTTGGTATAAAAGATCTGGAAGTTTCTAGGGGGGCTATTTTGCACTTGAAACTGCCAGGTGAGGGGTGACAGAGGTGTGGGCTAAGGGGTGACAGGGATTCCTGGATCTGAGTTAGGGGGAAATTCAAGGTGAGCTGAAGAAGAGACTTCCTAGACTGAGCAGGAGAGACCTCCGTGTCAGCTAACTGGGGCATCTGAATCGGAGCTAGTCTTAGATGTAAAGATGTCTGGATCTCAGCTGTAGGGCTGGAGACACCTGGGATACACCCATGGCCAAATCTGTGTTAGTGGAGAAAGAGGTATGACAAATAGACCAGGCACCTGGGATCCAATATCTTGAGCTGATTCTAGCTCCTTTTCAAACTTCTTGGGCTATCCCATCTCCACCAGAACTGCTTGGATGGTGATGCTGACTGTCTCTTCTATTACCATCTTCCTTCATTCTCCAAGTGACAGATAAATGCTCTAAAATGCTCTTTTCCTTCCAATTTGAGAAAAGGAACAACCTAGGAATTTAAACTGTGTCCCAGATGCCCCACAAGCTGGGCCAATCTACCCCAGCCTGACTTCCATTAGGCTTTTCTCAGACTCCTGGTTTGATGAACTCAACCATCTCTATGATTTGGAGATGTCCTCCACTTTTTTTTTTTTTTTGGCTTTGCCATTTGGTTTGTAAGTCTTAGTTCCCCAACCAGGGTTGGAACCTGTTCTCCCCGCAGTGGAAGTGCAGAGACCTAACTACTGAACCACCAGGGAAGTCCCTCACTTCTTTGGAAAATTCCTTTCCTGCCTTGTGCTAGGAGGGAACAGGGGTTGACACAGCTTAGTCCAGATAGAAAGTCAGGATTGATCCGGCTTGGGAGGGAAGAGGAGGTTTGATTGTAGCCAGACAGGGGAGAGGGAGAGGGATTAAGGACACATAAGATAGTATCTGTGATGAACAGGACTAGAGACTATGGACAGTTCTTTCGAAGCCCAAGACTCAGTGGATGAGGTCTGAATTGAAGGACCAAGAACCCTGAGACTCACCTGGAGGTCAGGGGTGCCTTACCAGGGGTAAATGATCTCCGAGGGGATAAGGGCAACCATTCACTTTCTCCTTTCTTCTCACTCCAGCCTCAGGATGTTGACCATTGCTTTTCTCGCCCTTCTTTGTGCCTCAGCCTCTGCCACAGAGAGTAAGTGAGAAGCCTGAAGCCCAGGACTAGATCAGGGGAAGACAGCCGCCTGCACTGCTGGCAGCCAAGGCTTTCAGAGGCTGACTTGGGGTGGTGGGAACCAAGTTGTGGGAGGAAGAGGGGTGATGGGGAGAAACTGAGCTCTCAGGGGATTTCTCCCCCCAACACCTCCTTTCCCTCCAGTTCAGCCCAGGGACTCCTCCTACAGTGGAGAATACGGAGGCGGGGGAGGAGAACGATTCTCCCAGTCTGGAAACCAGCTGGATGGCCCCATCACCGCCATTCGCCTCCGAGTCAGCAGTTACTACATCGTAGGGTAAGCATCTTTGAGATTCTGTACTTTGGCGACCTTCTAGGATCTTACTAAATTAGGAAGGTCTCAGTCACTTTGGGTCACATCAGCAAGTCACAGGGACAACATGATACAGAAAAGTTATTAGATGACTTGGATTTGAGACCTGTGCTGCCGAAACCCCTAAGACTCCCACATGTGTGATCTTGAGTAAATCATATAACCTAAGCTCTGAAGGACTTGGGCGTTGTCTAGTTTACCCCCACCTGAGGTTTAAATCCTGCCTGGCATCCTCTGTCTCTAGCTTGATGCCTCTCCCCAAACGTGTGTCCTTCTGACACTGGAGCCTGGCACAGCACGAACAAGTCTCTCCCCTCATAGGGGCCTTTCAGATGTTTTGGGGGAAAAAAAAAATCCCTTTTCTTCTTTCAAGTAGCGGGTGGGGGCCCAATGGGAACGTAGACTTCAAAGGCAAGCTCTGATTTTTACTGTCTGAGTGATTCCGGGCAAGCTGTTTTCCCTCTGTGAGCCTGTTCATCATCAAGATGAGGCGCTGAAGTTCCGTGTATGACCTTCCAGGGCTCATCCAACCCTCACACTCTTCGGGGCTGTCATCTCTGTCACTAGTCTGAAGGTCTCAGTCTGTAGGCCAACAGCTCCTGAATCCTGATCACCTTACTCAGTGTCTGCCTTCCTTCCCTCCTCACTCCGCCCCTAGTCTCCAGGTGCGCTACGGCACGGTGTGGAGCGACTATGTGGGTGGCACCTCGGGAGACCTGGACGAGATCTTTCTCTACCCTGGGGAGTCCATCGTCCAGGTGTCGGGAAAGTACAAGACCTACCTGAGAAAGCTGGTCTTTGTGACCGACAAGTTCCGTTTCCTGTCTTTCGGGAAAGACAAAGGCACGAGTTTCAACGCTGCCCCCCTGTACCCCAACACTGTGCTACGATTCTTCAGTGGCCGAGCTGGCTCCCTCATTGATGCCATCGGCTTCCACTGGGACTTCTACCCCTCTGATTACGAGAGCTGCTGAGTTGCACCGCAACCCTGCGATGGGGACCTGGGAACCCACTCACCACTAACCACCAACCACATGTCTCAATTAAAAAAAAAAAAAACAATAAAAGGGCATGACTACAGCTAGTGGGATATACCTCTTGACTCTGGGTAGGGATGTGCGAATCTCATTTCTGGCTACTTGTTGTGTGTTAGTCTGGGGAAGAGTGGGAGGATGAGAGAGAAAGGTGGAAGAATCCTGAGCTTTTCTTCATAATTTATCAAGAGGAGATAAGGTCTTCCCTAGTGGTCCAGGGGTTAAGAGTCTGCCTGCCAGTGCAAGAGACACTGGTTCGATGCCTGGTCTGGGAAGATCCCACATGTCGAGGAACGGCTAAACCCATTCGCCACAACCAGTGAAGCCCAGGAGCCCATGCACCGCAACAGGAGAGCAGCCAGGGCTCACCACAACTAGAGAAAGTCAGAGTGCAGCAACAAAGACCCAGCACAGCCCAAATAACTAAGTAAATTTTACAAAAGTATTTTCAGTTGAGATAGCTTTTAGAAATATAGAGGAGATAAGATTCTGGCCTGAACCGATTCTTTTTTTCAAGTGTTTACCCAAACTGGAGGCTGAAGGTAAGGCCAAGTCACGGCTTATCACCAAACTCCAGGTGTTTCACTCTCTAGCCCTTTCCTCCTTTGTCTTCCTGAGACAGTGCCTCTCCACCAACAAACAGGCTGTCACCTCACTCTCCTGACCTCAGCCCACTCACAATTCATGGGTGCCTGGTTCAGCAGCCTTCGTTCTTCCCCAGAACCCACCTGACTCCCAAAATTGAGCCTGAGTGCCTGCCAAGGACTCTGGCTATTTACCCCATCCAGGTTCCCGTCTTTACACTGTCTTTACACCTAGTTCCCGTCTTTACACTAAGCATGGGGTCCATGCTCAGCTCTCTCAGACCTCAGTCGTTTCCTCCAGAAGCCACCACCTCAACAGCTTCTACAGTGCCAACTGTTGTTGCTGTCTAGTCACTCAGCTGTATCCGACTCTTTATGACCCCATGGACTGTAGCTCGCCAGGCTCCTCTGTTCATGGGACTTCCCAGACAAGAATGCTGGAGTGGATTGCCATTTCCTTCTCCAGAGGATCTTCCCAACTCAGGGATCGAACCTGCATCTCCTGCATTGGCAGGTGGATTCTTTACCACTGAGCCACCAGGGAAGCCCACTCTGCCAATTTTACCCTCAAAACAAAAGGGCATTCAAGGAGGTGGAGTTGGGGTGGAGATTTTCCATCATGTTCCCATGAACTGAAGGGGCTGCTTAGAGTTCAGGGGAAGCGTTAGGGGGACTGGATAGATTCAGCAAGGATTTAAGGGTATATAGTTGCTTTGGAAATTCTAGTTCCCGGTCCCAAATTTTTGACAGTTTTTTGTTTGTTTATTTGTGCTCGTGGTGGTGATTACTCATTGCTCCCATTAGGTTTATTCACAACCCAGGGAATTTCGGTCACATTTTTTCCCAATTAGACAAAAATAACTGTCATGTATATGTAATTTTATAAAGAAATATTAGTATGATACAAACTCATGACTAGTCTGTTTTCTATAAAAATGCCTTTATTTTTCTCAAGTCCATGGAATGGAATATTATGCAACTATATTTTTATTGATATATAAATCACATAAGATAAACTTCACCCCACTTTTTTTTTCATTTATTTTTATTAGTTGGAGGCCAACCATTTCACAACATTGCAGTGGGTTTTGTCATACATTGACATGAATCAGCCATGGAGTTACATGTATTCCCCACCCCGATCCCCCTTCCCACCTCCCTTTCCACCCGATTCCTCTGGGTCTTCCCAGTGCACCAGGCTCACCCCACTTTTTGACTGTGCCCCTGTGTCCTGTGGGATGATAGGCATGGTTCCCCAACTTGGGATGGAACTCACATCCCCTGCATTGGAAGCACCAAGTCTTAGTCACTGGCTGGCCAGGGAAGACCCATAAAATTCACCCTTTAAATTTTTATTTATTTATTTTTTGGCTGGGTCTTCCTTGTTCTTCATGGACTTCTTCTCATCGTAGCTTTTCTTGTTACAGAGCCCTGGCTCTAGAGCGCAGGGACTTCAGTAGTTTTGACGCGTGGGCTTAGTTGCCCTGCGGCATGTGAAATCCTCCTTGAGCAGGGATAGAACCATGTCCCCTGCATTGGCAGGTGGATTCTTAGCCAGGGGACCACCAGGGAAGTCTAAAATTCCCCCTTTTAAAGTATGCCATTCAGAGGTATTTAGTGTATTCACAGATTGTGGAACCATCATCACTCTCTAATCCCAGAATACTTTCACCACCTCAAAAAGAAACCCTGTCCCCATGAAGCAGTCACTCTCCATTCTCCTCTCCCCCAGCCCCTAGTAACCCTCATCTCTTTTCTGTCTCTATGGGTTTGCTTATTCCAGACCTTTCACACAGATCAAATTATACAACAACGTGGCCTTTTATGTCTAGCTTCTGCCATTTAACATAGTATTTTCAAGTTTCACCCATGTTAGAGCATATATCAGTACTTTAGTCCTTCTTATGGCTGAATCTGACAGCTTTTTGACAGATCAGATATTTGGTCAACTTTAGGAAAGCCTGTTTGGTTTTTTTTGCACCCAGTTAGGGGACTGGCACCAAAGGGGCAGCCATGGCAGAAGGGAATTGAGGGGAGGGATTCCTGGCTTTTATCTAGTCCTTATTAGGTTTTGGCAGGAGATTATGATTAAGGAAAATGTCCCCTTACTTAAAAACTTGAGTTTTAAGATTGCTGAATTAAGCTAATCACACATTTACCAAATAGTCCCTGCTAAAGGGTAGGAATACAAGCAGTACTGAAGATCTGGTTCTTTTCCTCTAGTTAAACTGTTGGTTTGGTGCCATAACAAAGGTGTTTTTCATAATATGCTAAGAGAGCCAAAAGGAGGGTTGACTTTCTCTGGGAGGTCAGGGAAGTCTGTCTGTGTGTGTCTGTGGAGGAACAGTACTGAGTCTAGCTTATGTAGAAATATGAAGATATGAGAACTACAAGTGGTTCAGTACAGGCAAAATGCAAAGCACAATTGGGCAAAAGATTAAGCTTCATAGAAAGGCAGGAACCATGAACATAATACTGAACTATTTAAACTTTATGGATTATGGGATGGCATTGAACCAAATTTTGCCCATCAGATTGATATGCTGTACATCATTTTTCTGGTGTAAATTGGGGGAAATGGACTAAAGATAAAGCAGGATGAGATAAAATAGTTAAGAGACTAGTTCTAGATCAGAAATGACAATGTCTGTACAAAGGCAATAACATGAGAGAGAAAAGGGAAGAATTTGAGAGATTTGAGGGGGAAGATAGGCTCAGAAGAATTGATGAGTAAATGCAAGAGGGTGAGTGAAAGAGAATCTAGGAGAACTACCACATCCGTAGCTTGGGCAACTGGGAAGAAGGATATTCTGAGATGGGGAATACAAAAGAAAAACTAAATAGCTTTTGGACTCATTGAGTTTTTTTTTTTTAATGTTTACTTTCTAATGTTTATTTATTTATTTGGCTGTGTCAGCTCTTAGTTGTAGTATGCAAGATCTTTGATCTTTGTTGAGGCATGCAGGATCTTTAGTTGCAGCATTTGAACTCTTAGCTGTGGCATGTAGGATCTAGTTCCCTGACCAGGGACTGAACCTGGGCTCCCTGCAGTGGGAGCACAGAACCTTAGCCACTGCACCACCAGGGAAGTCCCTGGTGTCAGCTCTTATATCCAAGTTTGCTCTCCTTTGCTACTTAAGGATACAGTTTGGAAGTATTTTTTTTTTTCTTTTTAAATTATTGTTCCTCTTGGAATATCAGGTGTTTAACAATTGGAATTGCCACCAGGCAGATGCAGATGCCTAGGAAGTAGATCCAACCGTCATTCCCTTTCAAGAGCTAAGGAAATTAAGGCACAAAGAGGTTAAATATCTTGACCCCAGGCGCCTGGCAGCAAAGCCCTGTACCTAAGCTATTTTTTTGATCTTAGAAGTCCTGACTCCCTGAGCTACACTCTTCACTATTTCTGGCAGGTATCTTACCATATATCTGGGAACTGACCACAGATGTGAAAACCTGAATAAAAGTGCTAGTTGCTCAGTCGTGTCTGACTCTTTGTGACCCCCATGGACTGTGGCCCTTCAGGTTCCTCCATCCATGAAATTCTCCAGGCAAGAATACTGGAGCGGGTAGTCATTCCCTTCTCCAGGGGAGCTTTGAGATCTTCCCAATCCAGCGAGCAACCCAAGTCTCCTGCATTGGAGGCAGATTCTTTACTGTCTGCACCACTTCAGTTCAGTTCAGTAGCTCAGTCGTGTCCGACTCTTTGCAACCCCATGAATCGCAGCACGCCAGGCCTCCCTGTCCATCGCCAACTCCCGGAGTTTACTCAAACTCATGCCCATGAAGTCGGTGATGCCATCCAGCCATCTCATCCTCTGTCGTCCCCTTCTCCTCCTGCCCCCAATCCCTCCCAGCATCAGGGTCTTTTCCAATGGGTCAACTCTTCGCATGAGGTGGCCAAAG